TCCTGTGGAGAAAGTCGTAGCACGAATGGGAGAAAGGGAAACTGTATTAGTGAAATGGTTGTGCAGGCTTTTAGGATTAAAGGAATCTCTTTATGGTAATGGCCGTGCAACGGAAAGTCTTTTTTTTTGTTTTTATTCCGAGGTATATTTCATCTCGTATTTATTATTAATTTTGCATTCGCAAGTTTGCCATCGCCTTTGCCATTCCTATATCGTTTTTTTAAATATTTATATATATATATTTATATGTATATATGTGTAAATATAAATGTACATATATATATTATATAAATATATTATAAATATAATATATTAAATGATTTAAATGTTTTTTTTTACTCCTAGAGCCTTTTTTACACAGGCGCCCATTTCACACCCTATTACTCTTTTCCTGTCATCACACTTTCCCGTTTTTATCCAGTGCAAACTTTACGTTGTTTGTGTAGTATTATAAATAAAGTGCATTTTCTCTGTTTACATGGGAACTTTTCCTCAATATGAAATAAGAATTTGTTTAGGAATGGGCATTTTCTGCATCCTTTGGGCATATCCTACCAAACTATGCTAAAATGTCGCAAAGAAATGGTAGTAATGGAGCAGGTTTATTCCACACAAATCTTCGCATATGCCTAATGGGTACGAAAGTTTATTAAGATGACTTCTAGAAGATGCAATAGTTGTGACTGGCATCCATGGTGCTTATTCAGACATGACGGCAGACTTTAAACAACAAAGCTACAAAGTCAATTGTTAAGGCTTTGCTAGAACATAGCTGCATGGCATCTATCAGCAAATCTCGAGATCTCCAACTTCGCTCCTTTTGCTTCAACACCGTGTCAGCTAGGAGGTTCCTCCAAGGTGATGTAATCTTTTGAGAATTCGGCTATAAAATGACATGCTTAAATGTGCTCGGATGGACTGGGATTGTATGAACTCCCAGGAGTTAGTTGCGACCGCACACCACTCCAATTCCCATCAAAGTACAATCAAGGCGAGACTCTTAGTAGCAGCTTAAGTTGGGGTGCTTCAAACACGTTGCTTCGAGGCGGAAAATCTATTATGAATGAAGGGAATTCGTGCTTCTTTTTGACCACCGGTGGATCTTGCACAGTCGCATATACACGGGCGTGCTTACTATTGTGGGAAAATTTACCATGTTTCTTGCATTTCAATAGACATTTACTTATTTGCGTAGCAATTACTTCGTAGGCAAATGCGCGTTAATAATTAACTAGAATAATAGTTGATGTTTTCGAACACAATGGTCCGCACCATTAACTGCAGACCGATACTCTTATCGGAAGAAGTTTACACACCCGTGTGTTTGGTCAACCTTTCCAGCACCACTTTCAACTCCACACCACCTCACTCTGCCTGAGTAAATGGTCAAATCGCATCAAATGGTGTGAATGTGGACAGGTAAGAAATGGGAGTGATAAGCTACGCGTTTCCATAATGGAAACCATTTGTCGAATGCAGCGGTAGATTAAAATTAAAATTTTATTAGCCTGCTTTAGTTGCAGCGCCTCGAGTCTTCCTCGTAGTCACAAGAATTTTCAGTAGTATAACGGAATACATGGCCATTGGCCTTGCCAGTGAAATGTTTTACAATCAGCCGCGATCAAACACAAAAACTTAACATTAGTAAAAGTGACAAATAGTGAAAGTTATTTGCAATTTATGATCAGGAAAAAAGGGTGTGACTGATGAGAGTGCAGCGTATCACTGTTTTGCCCCTTCACTACCTCTAAATTTTTTTCTCGGACAGAGAGGTGCGATTGAGGACGACATCTTATATTGTGTTGCATGTATTTTACAAATGATCCTAGCTGTATGGCGGGAGCCTACTTTGTCTCCTCTTCGGAGATCGGTGACGACTTTGCAGTCACTAGTTGAATTCAATCTGCAAGCTTGCCACCTGGAAGGACAAGTGCATACAAACATGCGTTGCGCATTTCTGCCATCGGTTCAAACACTGTTGTTGGTCAACCCCTACTTTCATAAAGCTGAATTAGCGGGTTGTCTAATCCACCATCACTAAGACACGTTATATGGTGTATTAATGTGTGTTACAGGCGGAGAAAATCCTTAGTAACTTGGCCTAATCTTCATCACTCAAAATGCATCTTTGCGTCACGGGAGATAGACTAGAGGTTACACTCCTGGAGGTGGAACAGATCGGTAGAGCCGCATCGGGTTACCTTCTCACGGGGCAAAAGGCTAGCCGCCTTTTGTGTAGCAAATGGCAGGCAGAGCTGTAAGAGTGAATCTTCCTGCGCTGTGTAGATTGCCACCTCCACATTCGTAAAATTATATCATTCAGAGTGGTGGATGTATGGAATGTAACTTTAGAGGAAAGGTAGCGTTTATGATTAAAGCAGCATCCTAAATTGGACCCGACTAGATTTCTATGGTTGCGTTGTTGTGTATCCTCATGGATCCAGCTACCTGCAGTGGATGTTGAAGATTAGCCTTTGCGTCCCATCAACTTAATCTCGACTGTATTTCTTCCGGAATTGGGAGCATTCAAGACCGCCTAGGAGACACCATCAATATACTAGCAGTGGACAAAGGATTGGGAAGGCTGCTGTTATACGAAAGATGGGCATAAACTTATGCCATCAGTGTACTAACTCAACTGTACATTAAAAGGCGCACTCAAAGCAAACTCTATTCTTATCAAAATGACAGCATAGACTGACTCGAGCGATGGCTTGCATGCAGTTTTATCCTGGATTGTTCTATTTTAACTTAAATCAAGTCAGTCATGCATACGCATATTTAGATATTTCGACAATTTACCAACGCCCACAATAACATTTCTTCAAAATCAGTTAAACAAATTGTTAGCAGGTACCAATCACAACGCCACAGAGGCAGGCTATTTGCAGACATCTAGGCAGTCTATGGGCTTGGTCTTCTGCCACCCTTTGGACATGCTGGAAAACAGACTTTTCAAGGTCCTGTAAAGATCCTTCTAATACCAACACTGATCCTTCGTTGGAAGCTACCCCATCCAGCCCGCACGAGAACATCCCCCTTCCTACCAGCTTCTCCGACTTCTTCTAACTACACCTCTCCCCTCCTCCTCCTCTCTCGCCTCAGCCACTTCCTTACCCTCCAGAGGATCGGATATTCCAAAGCGGTCCGCTTTCGGTTTTCGTGCAGCCTCGACATCTGGCACCGCAGCAGGCGAGACGAGATTTGAGGCAAATGCAATGGGGAGAAGGCAGACTAGGCTCATGTGCGATCGCATGCTGTGGCTCAGTGATGTTAAAAGCATCCACTTGCAAGCATGGTGTGCACCATCTGCGTTCAGACAAGCATTTGTTTAACTCCCCAAAATCGCTATTTTTACAGGTGGGCGAGCTGCAATTGCATGTATGTTGCCTGGAATAGGAGATAGTGTGGAAACTAATCACATCCACATCCTTTCGTACACAATTGTATTGACGATTGGGGAGATATTACTGGTATTGCGTGAATCTTGGAAATGTGAAAGGTTGATATCGTCCTAGAGATGAATGAAATTATGCAATAAAGTTTTCGAATAAACGCAAACGCAACAAGCATTTTCCCTGATGAGTGCGCAAATGCTACGTGCACCGCCATAACTATTTCCATTTAAAATAGTTTATCCCTCAATATACCGTGGCTGGCAAAATGTACACTACTTTAAAGCCATTGTGTAAAATAAGAAATAAAAGTATACTTAGTAATCAAATGTTAGATTTCCGTACTTCCAATTTTGAAGTAGACTAACAAATGAGGCCATTCGTGTGTTAAGTCTTGATGATCCATGGGGTTGAAGTACTTCTAAACTAACCTTATTGACAGCGTAGAAAGGGAACGAGAAACTTCGTTTGTGGCTTCATGTCATCAGCATGGACACTGATTCATGGAAGATTAAAACACCCTCCAAATTAAAGGTATTTACTTTGATTGCCTTTTGTGGCACTCAAAATCGCTTCCAGCAGCAACGTCAGTGTTCATGCCGCTATCGCTGCAATAATTCCCTCTTCCCCTAAGGGTAAATTCTCCGCCTCGGACACACTTTTGTGCTGTACCGACCCATTTAATGCAAATCATATTGACAATGGCGTTGCAAACAGGTAGACAGTAAGTAGTGCAGTTTTGAAATAAAAGCACATGCGATCCAGACTCCGCTTACGTATATTATCATCTCGAATTACGGCTGACACTTCGTGGACTGACAAATCTACATTTTCTGCATTACTTTATCCCCAGGGCCAGATGGATATCCCCTCCAAACACAAGTATACAACATGGCCGAGCAGCATCGACACGCAGTGTCCCTATCTGCTTTCTAAGTTGAGGGCAGAAAATAGCATGCAGTTCGGCACCCCCTTCATCCGTGATAAGATTAACCCAGCCAACTTCTACATCACTGTGGACTCCAGTAAACCAGCCCGTAAACCAAAGGCTACCTCAACAGCCACGGGCCATGCTACAGTGGCGTTAATGCATATTGTGGATCAGGCCCTTTCACGAAATGGCCTTCAAAATGATAGTGGTTGTGGATGAGCGCGCGCAACCACGAGGGCTGATGAGCGAAGTGAACTGTCAACGCAAGCGTAAAACAACCCACAGTGGTAACGTTTCAATGACATGTGATGAGTCGTCTCCCCATTAGTGGCGATACTGGCCGAGGTATTTCATATGAAAATTCATACAGCAGACGAAACGGCCGCTTGACATGCAAGCAACCGGCCATGAATCTGCTTAAGAGAGTCGAGTCTTTCTGCAAGTGTGTCACTAAAACCATGTTAAGCCGTAGTGATGACTTTGGTTAAATGAGGGCTTCCAGAGTAAATTCACGACTCAATATTTTACCCAAACAGCCTCCAAGGGCACGAAGTTAGAGTAATAATTAACGAAAGCTTCCAAGGGGTTTATTTGTATTCTTTAACGAAGAACAAAGCAGGCAAAATGGCCTGACAAAGTGAGATTAGATTACGAATGTATACTTTTAGTCTAGGCAACCCATCATCCGTCATATACTCTGGATTCGATACCAAATAATTACTTATAAGGTGGCAAGGTTGTCAAGTCCATCATCAAAGGCCACAACTTCAACGTCTTTCCTTGTTAAGATGTTAAGCAAGTTGCCTCCAGTCCCTGCCTACTAGAGCAGTTGGATCGTGCATACCGCACTATTAAAACATTACTTTAGAAGAAGAAAAAATGACATCCGCTATAAGTCACCAAGTGTGCAGCAGTTAGGTTGTCTGCACGTTGGAGGGAAAGTAGAGCCTTTAAAATAACGTTACAGATTACGCCTTCACAAGCCCCTCTTCTACTGCCTTCACCCACAAGTTGCCTGCCGACAAATTAGTCAAGTAGAACTTACTTACCTAAACACACTTTGTTCACAGTAATGAAATGCCTCCTTTTAAGATGGGATGTAGATATTTTTACTAGTAGGAAAGAGGAAGAGGGAAGGAAAGGAGAGTTTTGCAAACGACGGTGAAATTGTAGGAGTGGAGGAGCCTTAACTGAATTCCTTCGCATTACCTTACCACTTGATCCCTCCTTCAGTGACATGAAAAAAAAGGGGAGTCGCCTCAGCTACTGCGCCGCACCTCTGTCTCTCCTACCAATGTTGTGAAAAACCCATTTAATAAAATAAAGGTAGCTTACAAATGAAGCAAATATTTCACAAAAAATTGTAAAACACATGAATTTTGCTAGCTGGATATCCAGGCCAATGTGCCGTGGTTTATCGAATGTATTGCTGTTGAATTCTGAATCCTTTTTCAAAGGATAGCAACTTAGTCGCCATCGAAGCTGCCGCCAAAAGTCGTGTTTACTGTCAATGTCAAGAGAAAAAAAGCTTTCATAACGGAATCACGAGAATGAGGGAATAACTCAAGGTGACGCCTGCCCAGAATGAAAAGTTGGACGTTGATCTGAGGCAATAACCATCCAACTCGATGATAAGCGACTCTATTCCGTAAGGAACGCAGCTTTACCACATTTTATCTCAAAGAGCAGTAAACCCTTCAAAAAAATGGGAGAAAATAAACGAAAAACAATACCTTTTACAGAGGTTCACTTTCACATCATCGTGATGTCAATTGAGCCCGAGTCTCCCATACATGCCTTCTACTCATTTTCCATTTCAGTAGAAAAAGACGCGCCATCAAGACCATGTTTTAAATCCTTTTGATTAACGCTATCGCATTTGACTTTCTCGCCCCCTCTTTCCCGCCTTTTCCGTATGTACTTTCTTAACTTTATTGGCTATGAATTTGGGCCACGCAAATTGCAGATGCGATCCAACATAAAACAGAATAATTTGCGGCCTACCAGATCGAATTTATTCATCCATTTGAGGTAAGAGAAATCCTTTTGGAGCTGAAAGACAGACAATGATTCTGCTCTTTTTTCGTACTGTTATGTGTTTTGCAACCTAGAATTGGCAGATAGTGTAGGCTTCTCAGCGTAGGTCCAAAAGGTAGACAGTCATTGCCCTCGAAGAAATTCAAACTTTTGCATGGAAAAATTCCAAAGTGCTTCACCTTTCTACTATATGGTAATTTCAGCATGTGTGTAAATTTCATTTTAATAATATTTAGCAATGCAATCAAGAGTTGCACTTGTTACTTATATTCATTTAAGTCTTAACCATGACTCGAGTAGCATCTATTTTTACCTGTAGATCAATAAGCAGTAATTAAAAGATTAAAATTAAGTGTGGTTTTTGGGCATTTTTACGTCAGATTTTCTTCTAGAGGGCAATTTTTTCGTAGAGAGGTGTAACGATGTCTGGTGGTGGTGGTGGTGGTGGTGGTGGTGGTGGTGGTGGTGGTGGTGGTGGTGGT